AGGGGTCTATATAAATGCATACAGGAGTCTATATCAATGAATACCCCTGTAACCACCAACCGCTGAAACTAACTCATTACTTGCATAGGTCGTGCCTATACCTTACCTATGCTCAATCATAGGGGATTGTTGAGGACGTGGTCTCCTGCCCGTAGTTTAGACAGTAGTTCTGATTTACTTTTGGCTTGAAGCGTCTAAGTAGCGGGTACACCCGATGCGTCACTATTATCATAGTCCAGTCACGTTTTGCGCATAAGCCCGGTACTGATCGAGGCCCCGGCGCATGGCCAACTCTAGGCCCGCACACCTCGCCAAGGTGATGCTCGTGCGAATTAAGCAGCGCCATGTGTGTGTAAGTCGGCAACAACCAAATTATTTGACTGTGCGGACTGTGTGGGCACCTGTGAGTAACTATCCTAAAGGTTGCATTTGCGAATACCCCGACAATAGAAACCTAGCCCACATATCGTTAATCATTATAATTTGCCAATCAGTGGACACTTTGTGCGGAAACGAAAGGTTTACACTTGCTTCGCGCCATCGTCATATCTAAGTACCCGTATAAGCGTGTGTTCCGGTCGCCCACCAGTATCATTCATATCAATAGGAATCCTTCATTGCTTGCATCCGTTAAAAAGCTAATTGGAACTTCAAGACGCTCAGGTAGATATCCAGTCTGGTCACTTGGATGTAAAATGCACGTCAAAACTGATGAAAACTCAAGCAGTCCTTATTAATACAATTTTCAATGGAAGGAATTACTAAAATTTGCCTGCAGTACTGGTTATCGTAGAGTGTGCCACCAAATTGTTTAATAGGCAGTAGCATTTGGAAGTCCTGCTGAGCATCATCCCAACAACTTGCAAAATGCATACTGAAACAAAAACAATTTACTTAAGTGGTTTTACTATAGTGTACGACTGGATAATGACAGGCTGTGTGATCCTACTGGGAACAATACTGATATTTGACTAGTTATTTTGAAAAAGTATGACTGCCTTGGGGTCGTTTCGATGGGCTTCATCGATAGCGTGCTATCGTGCAATCGTATTCCCTTACCGAATCTAATGTAACTGTGGCGTAATGATACAGCAGCTGCAGCAGAAATAGCTTTATCCTTGAGTAGCTCATCCAGAAGTAGCGTTAGGCTAAAGTAGCTAAGGTAACTAACCCAGAGATAAATGTGTCCTAAGGCAGCTAATCTTCATCTCGGGTCAATGCGAAACTACTTTTTTGTCATGTACTTGGCCACAGCACCTCCCCGGTCTCTGACCTTCCAAAACCTCCCAGCGGCTGTATAGCCCACTATTATTTGTTAACTGACGTTGACAACCTTCATTTTTAATTTGCCCGCCCCAGCTCAAAGCACAGAAATAGCTTAGTTGAAGGATTAACGCGGACCTGCCTAAGTATTATCGCAGTTTACTGTACGTCACACTATTCCACCGGTAAAATACCTATTTCCGACATACCCTCTATTACTGGGATGCGCACATTCGTCCCACCTACTGTTCTTCTAGTGGGGTCGTACAAATAGTCGTTTTCTAGGACTACTATGTAGATGCTCGCACGTGAAGCACACCTATTTTAAGCTAAAGTACTGTTTATTATCATATCGCTCTGTCCGAACTGAGAGCCAAAACGTGGACGGTCCATTTTGTCCTCGAGCTGACCGAGCTTGCTTAGCCTGAGGCTTGCGACGACAAGGATGCCAGGTAAATCTCCCTGCCTTATGCATAATTCGACGATAATGTTTTGAGATCACTTGCGAAGGATATAGACAGGGTATCCAAGACAGGCTAGAGGTAGTTTCAAGATTAGGGTAAGGATTAAGGTTTGGAGTAGGATTAGGGCACGGGAATATTTGCTCCTCCTGGAAGTAAGCGCATGGCCACCTAACTTACGTTGGAGGATATTCCTACCCCTGTGTCTTGTCTGGTGCATGGGAATGTAAGTAATTCCGACCAAAATATGAAGCCATTTACGGAAAGACCGTATCGATTGGGAATAAACGGATTACCTCCCAGTATTAGAAATATCTGAGATGAAAGCGCCAAGCAGTTGTACTGTCACTCTTTTTTAAAATTTGCCAATTTTGCTTGCTCGCTCGTGAACACTTTTCCTCATGGGGTTAGATTTTTATGCACGGCAGGGTCCGTTTCGCATTAAAAGCGCCCGAAAAGGGGGTGCCATTCGGATCGCGGCAGAGCTTCAAATTGTCAGTTTTCTGTCCTCTAATTTATATTACCTTGGAGGGGCTATGTTGTTCGTATGCTCTAACCATGTGTCGGTTAAATGCCTGATACAGTGAGGAGGCGTATTCGAGTAATATAACCGATTGCACGCTGTTAGTTCCAGCGGAATAAGTCTGAAATTCTCCACGTCTCTTCTCCAGCAAAGTTCCTGTCTGACCTACATATGATTGTTTCCCTCTAACGAACCTTGTTCCCCTTCATCTGAGCCACGTGTCCGTGTTCCCTTACTCCCTTGAATGCTGTCACTCTCTCCTGTTGATCCCTTTAACTCGATTGCACATGATTATCCAAAACAGCCTCCAGCAAAGTGACGCTTGATTACTGCCCCCGGCCCCCCGTTCGGCTCCCTAGCCTTTTATCACTTTTGCCCACAATACTGTCGGCCCCCG